GCTCTTGGGGCAGGGCCTACTTCGATCCGATCGATCCGGCTCGATGCCGACGTCCGGTGTTCCGGCTGTCTAGCGCGGCCCGATGCTCGCACGGCGCTGCCGTGCATCTTGGCGCGGCCGATGCGATCCGAGTTCGGCTCCGATGCGGCCCGATCCGACGCAAGCCTCGCTTGGGGGAGGCTCGAGGAGTGAGGCTTTTGGACGAGGTTTGCCTTTCCTTGGCCTCGGGGAGGCTCCCCGCTGCCACGGCTGGATCCGCATTGAAATTCTTAACGCTTCGCGTATCCCTTCCAGGCGTGCACTTCCCCTCCTCCCCCTTGTTTCACCGGGTTTATCCCACGCGGCTGGGGTTGCCGCCAATACCCCTGTCTGACGGTGTTCTGACAGCTTGAATTCCATGCAAGGATCACACTGGGAATGGGCGGTCAGGTGGCCCCTGGCCTGCTCTTGGCTGGTGTCGGCCTCCACTGGTGACCGGAAGGTTTCCGTGAAGTCTCGCTACGAATTCCATGCAAGGATCACACTGTGGATGGGCGGTCAGGTGCCCCTGGCCTGCTCCTGTCTGGTGTCGGCCTCCACTGGTGACCGAAGGGGTTCAGTGGGGTCTCGCTACGCTGCCGACCTCTACGGTGCAAGGACTTCGGCATGTGTGGCTCTGTGCGCCCGTGAGCTGCTGTCTCCTGCAAGGTACTGCCGTTTGCAGTCCAATATGTGACGAGATTGCCCCTCTTCACTCTTGCGCTGACACGATGCACTTGTGTCGCCTACGACACGGACGTCGTCCGGGTGTGCCTGTCGGTCCTGCTCGTATCTGACGGACTTTGTGCCGACTCGCGCCGAGTGATTGACCTTTGCGTGTTTATGGTCGCGCCGCCGCGTCATTTCGGCTGCGCTTACTTGATGGTCGCCACCAGGATCTCCACGCCACCGGGTTGGGAGTTTCGTTTCTGGTTTTTCTTTTGAGTGGCTGCCCGCGCGCTCGCTTAGCTTGCCTGTTTTTCTTGCTGCCTAGTCGCGGCTCGGCTAGTGTCCGGACGGCTTTCGACCTGCTTCGCAAGCCCGCAAGCCAAAAAGTATCCCTTCCAGACCAAAACCATCCATCCAGACACGATGCCCTGCGGAGCTAACCCTCACCAGGGGAACGATGCATAATGTGGAGATTTTGGGGGGCCTGTGTGGGCCAGAGACCCATATGGATGCCTCCTTGGGTATCGTAGGATTTCTCCGGTTTGTTTCGGTTCCTTTTGGGGCGTCTTGAAGACCTCTTGCCCGCTCTTGGACGGGTTCTTGGAGCATCTTGGATGTTTCTGGGCCGCATCTGGGGGCCTATTGGTGCCCTCTTGGGGCTCTCCTGGGGCCTTTGGGGGCCTCGTGGGGCCCTATTGGTGCCCTCTTGGGGCTCTCTTGACAGCGTTTCGGGCCGTCTTGGGGCCATCTTGTAGGCTATCGATCAAAGGGCTTTCAACGCCCAGGAGGACAAGGTCGGCCCCAAACCTGAGGAGCATCCATGATCTGTGCCTTCTCGCTTGGGCATCTTGGACGCCATCACGACCCGCGACCCCATCCTGTCCAGATCCAGGGAGGGCAGGGGAAGGGGTCAAGACACTTCTCACACGCGCGACCTGTTTGGCTCCGTCCCACTCGCCCCCTCAACACACGTAGTGACAGAGTCTCAGCATATTCGGCGGCCGTCTTTGGATGGCCAGCTATTCAGACCCCAGGTGCGCGACGCTGGGGCAAGATGTGCCACACGTGCCAGGCGCGCAACGCGCACCAGGCGCGCCAGGCGCCCGTTGGGCCAAAGCGTGCCAGGCACGCCTGGTGCGTCAGATTCGCCTTGTGCTCCACCTGCGCCAAGTGTGCCGCACGATCGAAAACGAACGCACTGTCGTGGCGGAGTGACCATCATGATGTTTGATGGGCCTGCGCACAGCAGGCAATTTGCCAGCCCACCCCGCGTACCTGCCAAAAGTCAAATGGAAGTGATCGCGGGGTGGCCGCGCACGATCGAGACTTAGTCGCGAAGTGTAGTTCGCATTGCTCATTTGCAAGGGATGGTGGCCCTGCACACAGCAAGCAGGCCAGTTCCTGGCACCCCCGCCGTGCTTGTCATAAAACATTACCAAGTGTTCGCGCCCCCTCCATCGACCATGAGTCATTATTGTGTTGCAGAGTGAGTGCAATTTGCATCGTTATTTCCCTAACCATCGTGTGGTGTTGGGCCCTTGTTCGAAGAGGCAGTGTCCCGCGAGTCCTCTCCTCCTCGCCCCCCCCTCCTCCCAGACTTGCCTCTGCAGCCTTTCTGGCCCAGTAGTGTGTGGACTTGTCGGCAGCGACCCGCGCAAAGGGCATGACTGTTGCGAGCAACGGGGTCGCCACACGCGCGGCGTTCCCCCCTCGGGGCCCGCAGTGGCCCCCGCTGCGCCTTGGGGTTCTGCGCCCGCCGGGGCGCCAGGCGGCGACGTGGACGTGCGGCGCGTGCGGACGCGGGAGAAACTCAGCACGTGGTGGTATTGCGAGCATCGTGGAGACGTGTGGCCATCCTTGTCTCCTGAAGGATCCACAGAAGTTGGCGATCTCGTGGTGTGAAGATGTGGGCGGCAAAGCTGCTGCTCCTCACTCTTTCTCCCCAGGGGTCTTGGCCGTCTCTCCCCACGCAGCCAGTTGCCATTGCCACAGAGGGTCTCTCAGGTTCGGAGCTGGACAAGTTCTGTATGTTGGCCCAGAAGCAGGGCGCCACCTCACGCTGCTCAAGGAGTACGAGCGTGACAGGGGTGCGCCCTTGGCCTGTAATAAGCCAAGAGGTGGTCCTCCCACCTTCGTGCACACCAACGCGAGCGACGCCCAGTCAAAAACCAAACAGCGCGAGAAGCAGCGTGATAAGAATTTTGACACATTTGACGGGTGGAGGTCGGAGGCGGAAGCGCTCGAGTTGTCCATCAAGATTCTGGGGGGCGAGCTGAAGTTGCACGCAAAATCCGTAACACTCATTCAGGTGGGGATGGCCCCTGACGGTGCTTAAAGCAAGCCTGCAGCGACCAAGCTAGCATTGCGTGTTTTTTGTGAAGCCATCGGAAACCACCGACGTTGCCGACGATCTGATCGAACGCTTCCCAGGCGACTTTGTGAGCGCGCCTGCGGACCAAGTGCAATTCGATGGGCGCAAGAAGGTGCTGGCCGACCATTCCCGCGAGGCTGCCAAGAAACCCCTCGGCGGCGCCAGCGAAGCCTTCCTGCGGGCCAGACGTGCGCACGAGGAACGCATGTCCCGCCTCGCCAAGTAGAAGCGCAAGACGGGCGAAGGTAGAGCTACTGCTGTATCAGGGGGGAGGAGCTGACGGAGTTGGAGGCGGTCTTCAAGGAGCGGCGTCTATTGATGTTCGGGGTGAAGCCCCAGCCGCTGCCCAAGGTGCAAATGGCTCAGCATCTCACCGGCACGAATGGGGTCACAGTAAAGTTCCAGTAGGAGGATTTCATTGATTTTGGCTTGGGCTTCTCAGGGCCCGACCTCCGGAGACTCATGGCCCAGATGGACGCTGCTACCCTTTCCAGGATCAAAGAGCTCTCGAGGGTTGGTTGGGCTTTTGTGATGGTCTCAGAGGAAGGCCACCACCTGGCCCCTGTGCATGGGCCTGCGTGGGACCACCTCCTGCAGACTTCGCAAGCTGGAGAATTCCCAGGATTTCGCGGCCGCGGGGGGTGAGCCTCCATGGCCAGGCCGCGCGCCATTTCGACTGCATGTCGATTGGCCCCATGTTTTTGCGGATTGAGTCTCGGGGCGCAGGCCGTGCGCAGGGTCAGTGTTGGATTTGCTGTTCAGGAGTGCTTATTGCATCAAAGTGTAATATGTTTGCCCGCATGCGTGCGTGGACGACGAGGGCATCTGCCCCTCTGAGGTGTTCCACGGGCAAGGTAATTTCTGGTCGTGTTTGGCCGCAAGTCTCATCCCACGGCCAGCCCTGACGTGCTCAGCCAAATATTGAGGTGCATTATAAAGTCTCGTGCGGCCGTAGAGCTAGGCGCGGAGTCCCTGCCGAAATGGCCGAGACTAGATCTTGCCTAGACATCTTCTTTCAGTCCTCAAAAGCTGGAGCGTGAAGGTAAGCTCGGGTACGCGTGGTCGTCGACCGGCGGGTTTTGTCGCTGCAAGGCTTGTCCCCGCTTGTCACCGCAGTTCCTTGATCCCCAATGTCACCGCTGTGCTGCAGTGGACTGTTCAGTTCCGTTTTTTTTTGGGTGCGCGTCTGCTGCCGCTGCTACGGCGCTGGCAGCAAGACCATGCATTTGGGAAGAGCTGTGCTGGGCGAGAGGGGCCTGGCGCCGGCAGGGCGGCGTGGAAATGCACGATGCAGGGTCGGCGCGTAGAGTTTAGAGGATAGGAAAGTGAGCAAAAATGCGAAGTTGCTTCCCTCTCTGCGGCGCGCCCTTTTCTTCCCTGCCAGGCCCCTGCAGTCTGAGGGAACCCAGAAATAAGGTCTCAACAGTTCTGCGCGCCGCGTCGCACGGCCTCTGGTTCGGACCAAGGGGCCGCAGGGATGGTGACCCTGTCGGCGACCGTGGCCTCGGGAATTCAGCGGGTCCTCTAGAGATCCCCGCGGGGAGAACAAAAAAAGGAAGCTCTCAACCCGCGCGCGTTTGGGGCCCGGCCGCGGCGCGTCCCAGGGGCCCCGTGGAGAAGTTTGAGGACCTGCGTCTCGTCCGCCGCCCCCTGACGGAGCAGGCGGGTGGAGGGGTTGTGGCGGGCTCTGGCAGGATGCTCGACCCAGTTGCCTCTTCTTTCTGAGCCCGGGCTCGTGCCAGTCAGTGCTGCTCGCCCACGCGCGGCGTGCTTTGCATTTGTGCGTCGAGAATTAGACGGCGGGACTGCGCAGGGCTGACATTTTGAGGGCTGCGCCGCCACCCCTGCGAAGCGCCGCTGCAAAGTGCTCGCGGAGCGCCCGTCCACGGCCCAGACTGCGCCGCAAAGTTTTGACGGGGGTGGTCGGCCTTCACAGGGCGGG